ACGAGCAATGTAATGTCTGGGCATTAATCATAATGATTGCTTATCATTTCACTTTGCAATATTATCTCCTCTAATGAAACTGTTCACACAACTGCCAAGAGGGCCTTAATTGGTCGTGTGAAATCACAGAGCACCCAGCAGCTTGCCGCACCGTGTGTGAAGTTCTAATTTGCATGGGTGGGTGGGGTGTGGGGATTTGAGGGGTGGGCACGAGGGGATGGCATCACTTAAGAACACACAGAGAAATGCACACACAGGCATGGACGTGATGGAGTAAATGGAAACGTGGTGGGCTCGTTTAATAAAGTGTTATTATACTGTGGTGCTGTATGCAGACAACAATGCAAGGAAATTTGCAAACAGTCCGATGAGGTCAAATAAAAACCTTAAACTTGATATATTTTAGACTTTTTCCTATTTTTTAATGTTAGGTCTCAAAACTAAATATATGCTTCTGATGTTTGATGTTCCTCTCCCTGGCATAAGATCCATGCCAGTGGTGGGTGTGATTATCCAGGCGACATGGCATCCTGACTGATCCCAGCTTTGTGCCACCACCATGAAGCCCAAAAAAGAAAAACACCCATCCAATATCCCCGTTTTTGCATTGTAGCCTCTTACTGTATATCCACCCAGCTGGCCATCCCCAGCAGCCCGGCCTCCTGGAGGATATTTTAATACCAGTTAGAATATATCATCCCCTCCAGTGTGTGCGCGGACCACCTAAAGAGGCCACGCTTGACTGGAAGGAGGAGAGCACTGAGGCTCCTCGGTGCCCCGGCTCCCTAGGCTTAGGAGGGCTTAGGTGCGGATGTCATTAACTCTTTCTCCCTGGTCAGAATGGCTAGCTGCTAATTGTGGCCCCTGGTCTGTGAGCTGAGCTTGTGTAGCTAAGGAGAAAAGGCTTGCCGTAAATTGAAATCTGAGCAGCGTGTCTGAGAATCGGGGTGACTTCCATCCCGTGCAGTTTTAAGACACAGTCATAATTCCTTCTGGGCTAATTTTATCATCCATAGAAACATTATTTTTTCTGTTCACTGCACCAAAATCTGTCACCCTTTTCATATTTTATTACACCGGATCACAATTCCAAGTAGCCATTGACCACAGTCATTGACTTCAAGTCTGCCAGTCTTACTAAAAAGCCTAGACTGAAGTCAGGTTGGACATTTCTTGTTATGTTAGATTTGGTAGCTTAAACTTTTTTCTTACTTTAAAAAGCAGTTTTACTTTTTTTTTAAAACCAGTAGGCATTTTTTTTAACTGGTACTTGTTGATACATGCAGCATTCATGGTTTGCACTATCCTGACAGGCTGAATCTCCTCAGTAAATCCAGCCACAATTTCTGATTGTTTGACTAGAACTGTGCACGCTGTGTGTCTTCTGTTCACTGAGCTTTACAGAAACTAGCTTAAATGACAACTTTACCACGAGCAAATTAACACAACAAAACACCTTTAAGCACAATTCACTGGGCTACACACTGAACTTAGAAGATAGTATCAAAGTATTGATCCTATTGTGATAGTATAGATCTGATACCAATACCAGCATTTGTATCGGTACTATCAATATCTGGATCGATCCACCCACCTCTACTGGGCAGGTGAGAGTACTCTTTTTCAGATGCCAACTGATGAATCCAGATGAAGCTTCAGTAGTTTGTTCAGTCATTTGCTCGTCTTTGATAAAAACACTAATGCTAATTCAGTTTTTATATATATATATATAAATGGTACCGCTTGTTTCAATTCATATTTTTTGTAATGAAATAAGGCCTCTGGTATCTTAGTCCCAACATGTAATTGGTAATCATGCAGAACTTTAAGGTTCATTGTAAGATTAATTGTAATGCTGAGGACATAATGGACCCAGTTAACATGCAGCTGGCATGCAGATTCAAAAGTGTCCAGGATGAAGTCAGGTCCAAACACTCAGGAGGCCAGCATAAGTGTAAGGTGTCAGAAAAGTGGTCCAGAGATTAGTTTCATGTACCACAGTTCTGCCTCTCAGTGTACTTCCCTCCTACTATCAATCCTCCCTATCGTTGCCCCTCGTCTCCTCCGCTGTTCATCAGTCTGAAGCTAACTGTCAGCTCTTCTCCAGCTTATTAAAGGCTCTGGTTAACATCCGCTGTATGGCGGAGTCAAACGCCTGGGCTGGTATAACCACGTGCTGATATGATTTATTCTCTCCCCGAGGAGCCTTCTAATGAACAGAGATGTATGCTCAGCAGCCCCGTACATGTAACCTCCGTGTGCTCAGAGGACGGCTGCGCTGTAATATGATAAGTACCATGTCGATAGCCTGTATGATATGCTAATCATACTAAAACACGGTGCCTCAGGCTCTCCCCGTGTTTATTTATGAAGGCTTGACCTGAGGGAGAGCAATAATCGGCTTTTCTCTGAACTCTCTAACCCTGGGAGCCAAGGGAACCGCCAATCACACACATCTGAGTCCTATAATTCCCTCACCTCTCTCTCGCGCGCTCTCTCGCTTTCTCTCACTCTCTCCTGTCCTTCTGTTTCCCCCTCAGCTCGAGCTGAAACGGTAGATTTATGCAAACGGCACCGAGTGTGCATTTTCCTGCCCACATTTGTCGAGGGCCACATGTCAAGGGCTCAAATCATTAAACTGATTATTAATTGGGACTGACGTAAACATGCTGTCAGCAGGCTCAGCGACTTGACCGTGTTCTCAGCTCAAATATAGCACATTGATTTGATGTGGCAAACATTTAGTCAAGACATCGCCACTCCTCTGATGCAGAATACATTGCAAGTATTGCACAAATATACAATTTCTTTTTGTAAACAACACAAAGTGAAAGTAGAAGAAATATAGCCAAACTGATATTTTATGATGACATGTGATATAAGTGTTTGCACGGCCTTATTACATTTGCTTTAGTAAAACCCAAACATGAATATTCACATCGAATCAGTGTCGAACTTTTCAACACTTCGGTACTCCTTCGCTTCAGCTTTCTGTGCCTTTGACTTTGACTGCCTGCGTCTCGCTATGGATTGTCTTCTCATGAGTACAGCTCTCCCGTCACTGCAAACATGAGGCTGTGCAAATATTTTGAGGGAGAAGACAGGCTGGTTTGAATGGCTAGTGGATACACAGCGTGGAGTGGATATTGCTAACAGTGTGATTTCCTCATGCATTACCATTTTATTTATTTATTTATTTATTTTTTGAGGGGTGACCACAAATGACGTTGAGTGTTCAATAAGCCTATTTTTCATAAAGTCTTAGTTGCAACGTATTAAAAATAAGTAGAAATGTGTCTTGGGGTAGGGTGTAAATCAGAGCTCGGGCCTTGCATCTGTGAGCTAGGAAACAAAGGTTTGTTTGTGTGCCTCAATCACTCTTGCTCATGAAAGCAGACACTTACTTGAAAAAAAAAATCCTTCTCCTTTTCTTTTTTTCAGGGAAACACTCTAAACCAACATCCTGGGTATAAATTTGCAAAACGCAATACAGGCCTGATTGTGTGTTGAGTGGATGTGGGGTGCATACGAATAGACCCTGTACCCCTGCCTCTCTCCTCCTCCAAACAGTCCCCCCCTACCACCACCTTCCCCCTCACCTCTTTCTGTTCTCATGCAGCCAAGTAATGTACAACAAAAAAAGCACAGCTGAAAGTTTTTTTTAAATTTCCCCTTTGTTTTCTCGTAACAGTTTTGAATTCAGAGTTCTTGTTTGTGTTTTAACCAATCGGCATAAACCAGAAGCAGCAGGTGTCTGCAAAAGTAAAATAATAATGATGATTTTCAAAGGTTCATAAGCAAAATTGTAGTTAATATATAGTTGTACGACAGATCACGCCACTGAAAACACTACTTCAGAAATAAAAGAAATTCTCAGCTGCTGCGTGGCAATATTGGATAATTCCACTTTAAGAGTTTCAAACTTTTTGAGCTCACACTGTTCACGCTTCCAACTTCAAATGTAGCAGCCGACCTCGCGCCATGTCTTTGGCATTTATAAGACAGGAGAATAACGTTAAATATGCACTCTACAGTATCATAGTGATGACCGAGTCTGGGAGAATCTAAATGCAAACTCTGGGAACAAGTGAAGCTTTGGCACTGTCACCAGGTCAGCTCAAAACCCCCTCCAAGCCCAGCCCCTCAGCACCAGGTGTTCCCTTGCATTCAAATGATACTCTTATTCATAGACTGTCCCAACTGGAGTATTAAAAACTCAAAATTTGCAACTGAATGCTGATATAATCCTGGAAATATATGTCTCCATTAAAAAGTAGCCCATTTGAAGGAACAAGGCGGTCTTTGTGTGGGGCTTTATGTATATTTATCAAGGCGCTAAAAGGGAACCAGAGGTGGGGGTTAAGGAGAAGGGGATAGGGAGTAGCAGGGCAGACTTTCCAACTGTTTACATGTTAATTTCAAACTTAACAGCCCTTGTCCTGGAACTATTTATACACCGAATGCAAATTAATTTCGTCTCCCTCTGTTATCGTCCTTTTTTCCCCTTTTTTTTTTATAGCAAACACTTGACTGTTGATGGAAAAATGCTAATTAATGGGTGCTTGGAAAGTTGGTTTTTTTTCTGACTAACTGCACCCCTGGATTTGAATGACAGGTTGTATTTTGTTAATATGAATGCTGGACTGCGACTCAGTTCCACTTTCAGGTTTAGCTACATCAGGTGTCAATAATGACCTTCGTCCTGAAGGATTTTTGCATAGTGTTACGCTTTTATTGGTGACACTTTTTTTGATTCAGGATGTTGACTCACCAAAATATGCAACTGTTGAGAAAGAAAGCTGCCTGCCTAGATGTTGTGTCAAAGCAAAGTTTAATAGAAAAGTGCTACCTACAAGATATTTTTTCAAACCACTTGTTTCATTTTCAGTATTATTTTTCACTGTAATGTAACATAAAGCTGTCTTTATTATTACTTACTTATTATTAAATTGTGAATATTATGCTCCAAAATAAAGTTTCCATTTTGCTTTACCCCACAGGTGTGTGGCATGTGGAAAAGTGTGCAGACACGATCAGCATGTGACTTATCCTATAAACGCTCTTGAACAATTGCCTTGCTAATCACATTATGGATACAGTAAGCTCAACAAATTGGTAAGTACACTTGCCTACATCTTTGGGGTGCTCTCAAGCAGATGAAGCTACTGCAGATTTAAAACTGCTGAATCAGTGTAGCACCATTGTCATAGCAGTTTACTGGTTCTGCTGTTCATTTTTGGTTGATTCTTTGAAAGTAGCTGCCGAATAACCGAGAGTGCCATCTCTCTGCCGATGACGCTCAACTATAGGTAACTAAAGGTTTTCACCTACCTGTAAGCAGAATGTCATAATATATCATTTTGGCTGTTTCCTGAATACTGGAGATATAAATATTCCCACAGATCTGCAAATCTTATTTGCATTTATATTAAGCAGAACCACAAATATTTCAGCTGTTCATCTTGAATCAAAATGGCTTAGTCCCTAGAGTAGAACCCACAAGCAACCTCCTGGCAAGCTCAGTTCACTGACTGGTTGGCAAATGGTGTCTAGACTTTGCTAGCCTTTACTGGACTTTGCTAGCTCTTACAAGGTGAAATTGGTCACAAAAAAACTCCAAAAATCTATGATTTATTTGGTTGCAGATTGGCATGGTCATTCACAATTTGCATGTAAGATAATGAATTTCCTCTAAACCTTAACCATCTAATCTCCAAGCTGTACAGAAATTTGAAGAAGGGTAATGCCAAGTGGAAGTGGAGAACATTCACTTTCAAAGTAAAAGTTGTGCCTTATTGATGCAATATTTTATCGCAACAGTAAGGTGCAACATTTATTTTTAAAGCAAATATTCTCCATTTCCTCTCTGCCTAGCACTTTTCACTACCCCTTGGCAAATAGTTTATTAGTGTTTGCAGACAAGTTGGCCTCCTCCATGCAAACTGGTGGCAACCACAGCAACCTGCTAGTGACCAAAACAATCCCAAGGAGGTTTTAATGCTGCACCATTTATCTCTTTGCAACTAATTTCATACTGGCAACTGCCAGCCACCTCCAGCAACCACTCATCGACTAGTTGTAATAAACTCTTTTCCTTCAAGACCAGTAACCCATCTGGTAACTATAGGTCACCTGAATGGGGCTTTAGCAATTGATTTCATAGCGACTGCCAACAACCTCCAGCAGCCACCCACACCTGGTTGGGGAAGACATATTTCCCCCCCACAAACAGTGTTTGTCACATTTGCTGACTGAACTCTAGGCCTGTGTGACTGGCCCTTAACGACTTAACAAGTCAAACCTTGTTGGCATTTTAATATTTATTGAATTGAAGTTTTTCTAGATGCTAGTTACAACCCGTTATGCTTCAAAAACAAAGTTTTAAAAAGCTTTTTTGATTTCATGGAAGTTATATTTCTACCACTATCTTTGCTGTTGCAATGGAGTCTTGAGCGCCAAATCTATCTCTTATAATGTCTGGAATATACTGTTGTATTGAAGAGAGCAGTGTCATTAAAATCATTTGGTTTAAAACCGAAATAAAACAAAGAACAAAGGAAGAAAGACTTAGAGACCGAGAGAAAGAGAAGTTGATATGAAATGTGGTCAGCTGAACTGCCATGGCAACTGGTCAAGAGTCCACAGAGAAGGAATGTGTCTAATGAAATGTAACAATACCATCCCCCCCGCTCCCCCTCCTCGCTGCCCTCCCTCTCTCACTTTGAGTGAATGACTGAGTATGTTTTATGGTTGGAGTGCACAGGCTCGACTGCCGCTTTGTTTAGACGGATTTCAGATGTTTGGCTCATTGTGTTTAGGTTGTGCTGATTGTTTTTTAGGCACATTTGAGTGAATAAACAAATGTCATCACTTCAGCGCCATTCTTCAAGAGCTTTTTATGTCAGTGTCAGTAAGTGATAAAACATCTTTTCACGAGCGCATATTTTCGTCCTTCGTCCTCACTTGATATATTTTTTTTGTTTGCTTGATACGCAGGAAATGACAAGGTCTCTTAGAGTGAATAGGATATCAATTAATTATACAGTTGTCAGAGTCACAAACCAAAGTGCAATACTTTAAGGATATAGAAATTTGGATGAAGGGAAAAACTTGTAAGAGCAGTTTGAGTGCTTCTTGTAATTACAATATAAATAGTAAAAAAAAAAAAGGCCTATTACTGAAAGCACCCAAGTTTGAAAATAAACCAATGAAAAGAGATCAGTTACTAAAGTACTATATGTTGAAATCACTCAGTTATAACATGAATGTCTAAACCTAAACATGTTGGAAAATTCATAGCAGATGCTGACTGGTTTAGCTGGTCTCTCCTCATAAACCATGCATAAATCAACCATCACTGCCGCCTCTTTCTTTCTGTCTGATTATGATGCTAATATCACCACTCTAAACAAAGAAACAAGCCCAGTGACAGAAATGAGAGACATAACGCTTTTGTTTACAAAAGAGGGAAAGTATAGAGGTATTATGCGGACTACAAGACTGTGGGGCAGAGGGTGATGTCTACAGAGAGGTTGGATCGGCCTGCTAACGTGATCACCTGAATTATGCACAAACCATTGTGTCCAAATATCATAAACTGAAGCACGAACATCCCACCCCTCCCTCAAACACGGGTCGAAATTATTATTTATGTGGCTTCAGAGCTGCAGAGAGACAATTAGTCATATTCGTATGCTGAAATTAATTGAGAGAGATGCGGGAGATAAAGACAGAGAACAAAGACAGCTTTTTGTCACATCTTTCTATCTGACAGGGATAATTAGATATATGAAATTGAAATTCCTCACTGGGGGGTCCTATTGACAACACTGTTTTCTGTTTCGCTCTTATCCCCTGTTTCTTTTGTGCTCCTGTTTATGCTAATTTGGACCCAGTGTTTTTCCCTGACCGCTAAAAGCTGCATCCTCCCCAGCCTTCAGATTCAATTCATGTAGAGCAGAGAGTAGCCTGTCAGCTATTCACAGCCCTTTACCTGTAACACAAGGACTCGGGGAATCAGTTTCTAATCAGCAGAATTTAGATAGCTGATATACACATGTGTACGTGTCACACTGTGTGGAGCTGCAACAGTATTAATTAAATGAATTAAATATAAAAAAAAGACTTTATTTTATTGGATATGTGTTATTATAATATTTCAATTCATTTTTTTTAAAAATTCAACTTTAATTTTATGTCTCATTTTATTTTATATTATTGTTTCCTTGGTTTGGAGTTGTCACCACCCGATAAATTACAAGTCACAGGCTTAGTGACACCAGAGATATTTAACTCCAAGTTCTATAACTTCCAGTTTTCTAGGGGGCGCTCATGAGATATAAGTGAATGGAGCTTGTTTTGTTGTAATTAGGGGTGGGTGTCTCAAAACTATAACACGAAATTTCAATAAAATTTGAAATAATATTATTTCTGATGAAACAGGAAAAAAATACTGAATACGGTTTTATTGATGCGTGCGGGCAGCAGCATTTATAAGGGTGAGTAAATGCAGGGCATTTCCATCCTTCTTTTCCAATGAGCTGCTGTCAGTGATGACACACAACCTAATTCAAAGTGTGATTCTATTGCAACAAGGTGCCAACAGCAGAAGCAGCAGCATTATAATGCAATTGTAGTGACACAGCAATATATCCAGTGACACCGCATAAGTCAGATGTAAACACAGGTAATCTTTTTAGGATTTTTTTTAAAATAAAAGTAGACAATAACACTTTAAATTTGTAGTTTCACAGTACATAAAGTAGCTTAACCTTGTGAGGAGCCTGCACAGTATGTTTTGCCTGGGATTTTATATCTTGGGTCAAGCCCCTGCTTGTGTCTACCTACAGACATGATAACCAGCTGCTTCATTTACACTGATGTAAGCTACTGCCCTGTTACAACAAGGCTTCTCACATTTTTTCTAGTTATCTTTTGATAATGGATGCCATTGAGGGAGGCTGTCCTTTTGTATATACTTGAACGGATATTCAATATAAAAGTGCTAGCAAAATGTTAGCATTTATGAGACTAAATAGATTAAATCAGTTTTACTGTAAGATAACAGATAACACAATGAATTAAAAATGACACTGACACACTTACATTCACTCTTTTTGTAAAAAATAGTGTAATATAAAATATTTTTGTTTAGAGGGAGCTAAACAAGTTATCTTTGACTGCTAGCTGTTTCAGTAGCTAGCCATTGTTAGCAGGCACCAGTGTGTGCTTTTGAACTTTAGCATTATCTTTTATTCTGTTAAACCATTTGCAAAAAACAAACAAACAGATAAATCTAATATAACAAATTAACTGCTGCCTTTACACAGTAAGTTAATAATTCACACTCACAAACTGTATTAGCTACACTGGCCAACCACTTACAGCTTGAGAAGTAAAGCGAACAGGCTTGTTGAATAACTTGCTTAAAATTTTATGATTTCATCTATATTATACTTTACCTGCTAGGTTGCCTCTTTCTAATGCCCCACGTAATGACTTGAACATACGTACCTTTGTGCATTTTCTGCAGTTCAGTCCTTTGGTTAGCATCATGTGAACCACCCTCACAGTATCAGAGAGGAACATCTGATAAAAGAACATTGTGGTTTTAGTGGAATTATGGGTTATGTCACCTTTCACCGCAAAACTAGAAGGGGCCTCTCGATAGTTTTCCTCTCACATGAGAAACAACCACTGTCATGTTTCTCACAAGTGAAGGAAACTGCTAAATGCCACAAAAAAGACCCACATAAAAATGGATTAAACTGACAGCATGAATTAAAAGTGTTCTTGAAATGAAAGAAATTGTATGATGTAATGTATGTATGTATCTACCCTTTTTTAAAATTTGTTGTCTGGTTTTGTGCCTATTTACTTATTTATTCTTTTATTGAGAATGGTTTTTTGAGAAGGTTGGTACTTCAGCTACACTTCTGCTTTTATTATTGCACATGTCTGCCCTGGTTTCATTTTTAAGCATAAAGATCTCATTCCCAGAAAGGACCTAAAAAGCGCACAGACACTTAAGATGTTTCACAATTAAGCAATTAAAACTCAAAATTCAAGTGACATTAGACTATTGCTTTGAATTTCCCCATTGTCCCACATGTCCC